AGAAAGATTCTAATTAAAAATCCAGGGTTTGGAAAAAAGACGAGGGTAAGAGCGAGAGGAGGAGGGCATGTTTTTGAAGATGGAGCATGGAATAAAGCCTGTGAAAATCATTATCACTGTTACCTTTTTGGAAAGATGTTCTTTTTAGAAAAAGGGTGAGTAGTACAAGGCAGAAGTTGACTTGTTTTGCTTTAATATATTGATTAAACCCTTCCTTTCAATATATACTGGTCCCATGGGGATCCGGGTTAGAATAGGTCTTCAGTACCCCCTTGCTTGTCGTAAAAGGCGACTAAATGGGGCGGTCCTTCGGATGAGACCGTATAAACCGAGGCCCCGTGTCACAGCAGGTGTGGCACGATAAAGATCCCTCCCTGCTCAAAGGCCGTAAGTGCCGAGCATATGCCTAAATTTGCAGCCCTTCACCGGCAATGCTGACGTCTCCATATCAGTGAAATATTCTGGAGAGGGACGTTAAACAGTATACAATTAATCAATCAATCAATATATACTGAGCAAAATAAGTTTATGAATTAAAATTTGAAAATATTTAATATAACACACAGTAATGGAACACATGTACTTGTGGACAGGACCCCCCCCCCCCCACGATATTCAACCCCGGGGCTTATTGGACATTTTTTAGCTCTACTGGTCAGAGACCAGAAGAGCTTATGCGATAGTAATGCGTCCGGCGTCCGTCCGTCTGTCTGTCTCTCCGTCTGTCTGTAAACAATTTTTCAAAACGCTACTCCGTCTACAATTTTAGTCTGATTTCAATATAACTTGGCACACAAGTAGACTACACTAAGATACATAAAATAGTGCATCGGTTTTTGATTTCGATGAACGGTGTTGCCATGGTTACTAAATATAGAATTTACTGAGTAATTCCTTTAAAACGCTACTCCTTCTACAGTTTTGGTCTGATTTCAATATAACTTGGCACACAAATAGACTACACTAAGATACATAATTCTGTGCATCGGTTTTTGATTTCGATGAACGATGTTGCCATGGTTACTAAAAATAGAATTTTCTGTGAAATTCCTTTAAAACGCAACTCCTTCTACAGTTTTAGTCTCATTTCAATATCACTTGGCACACAAGTAGAATACACTAAGATGCATAAAATTGTACATCAGTTTTTGATTTCGATGAGCGGTGTTCCCATGGTTACTAAAAATAGAATTTTCTGTGAAATTCCTTTAAAACGCAACTCCTTCTACAGTTTTAGTCTCATTTCAATATCACTTGGCACACAAGTAGAATACACTAAGATGCATAAAATTGTACATCAGTTTTTGATTTCGATGAGCGGTGTTCCCATGGTTGCTAAAAATAGAATTTTCTGAGGACTTCCTTTTAAACGCTACTCATTCTTAAGTTTTAGTCTCATTTCAATATCACTTGGCACACAAGTAGAATACACTAAGATGCATAAAATTGTACATCAGTTTTTGATTTCGATGAGCGGTGTTCCCATGGTTGCTAAAAATAGAATTTTCTGAGGACTTCCTTTAAAACGCTACTCATTCTTAAGTTTTGGTCTGATATCAATATTACTTGGCACACAAGTAGACTACACTAAGATACATAAAATAATGCATCGGTTTTTGATTTCAATGAACGATGTTGCCATGGTTACTAAAAATAGAATTTTCTGAGAAATTCTTTAAAACGCTACTCCTTCTACAGTTTTAGTCTCATTTCAAATCACTTGGCACACAAGTAGACTACACTAAGATACATAAAATAGTACATCGGTTTTTGATTTCGATGAGCGGTGTTGCAATGGTTACTAAAAATAGAATTTTCTGAGAAATTCCTTTAAAACGCTACTCCTTCTATAGTTTTGGTCTGATTTCATTATCACTTGGCACACAAGTAAACTACACTAATTTACACGTAATAGTGCATCGGTTTTTGATTTCAATGAACGGTGTTGCCATGGTTACTTAAAGTAGAATTTTCTGTGGAATTCCTTTAAAATGCTACTCCTTCTACAGTTTTGGTCTGATTTCAATATAACATCACACAAGTAGACTACACTAAGATACATAATTCTGTGCATCGGTTTTTGATCAGTACAAACCAGTAGAACTACAGTCTCGACAGAGACTTCTGGTTTTTCGCAAATTATATTTATTTCACTTATTCATCATGTGTACTATATGGAAAAATCGTCAAAACCCCAAAACAATCGCTCCACAAAAAAATATTCCACTATACATTGTAAGGGAAAAGGAATGCATCTCCGGTTTGTTTACGTTGTACCCCAACTGGTCTTTCTGGGTTTAAAAACAAATATTTATTTCATTTCAACCTAAAATGTCGATTCACACCGTCTCTACATGTATTTCGGCCTTTGTCCATGCTATCGGATTAGTTTTGGATCTCGTAAAAATCCCAGAATATCTCCATAAACAGCATTCCAGTCAGACTGTTGAATTTTCCCTTTGTAAAAGCAACGGAAGTGCATAGAGAATGTTTCACTTCTAAGGATAACGTCCGAGAGTTTTCGCCTTACGTAATCATCTCTCTCGGATGTTATCATACTTTTATATTGTACACATAATGAATAAGTGTAATAAATATAATTTGTGTAAAAAATGTCAAATAAGCCCCTGGGTTGAATATCAGGGGGGGGGGGGTTCTTGTCCACAAGTACCTGTGTAATGGAAATATAAGAGGCGATCAAAAATTTGTGAACTATCTATTTACAAAACCACAATTCAGATCAGAGTTACATATATAGTCGTATATAGTCGTACATGTTCTATAAATAGAAGGTATTATGTAATGTTTTGCTCCATGTGACATCAAAATGTGAAAACTAGAGGCTGTCATAAGACAGTAATATCCACACTAAGGTGTATGGCTCTAAATGCACTCTACTTCATAATACCCCCTGCTTGAAAAGCGGGAGAGCATATAGTAAATGGGATGTCCGTTCGTCCTTCTGTCTATTCATCCGTGAGTCCGTCTTATGCTTTGGGGCACCCATCTTTTATCTGCAACTTCTCTTAACCATTGAATGAAGTTTGATGAGACTTTCAGGGAATCTATATTACATAATGCCAATGTACACCTATTTTACTTTTTGATCCGACATATTTTGGGTTCCCCATAGCAAAACAAGGACACTGCCATCATATTCATATGGGAGGCAGGGGGTATCATTTAGTGAGCTCATTGCTCACAGTAGCTAGTTGAGATGTGCAGTACCTGTGACAAGATATTTCCGAACTTGCTATATTTTCTGACCCCCGACATTAATGTTTGACCAAATGTTAAAAAAAATCAACATTGGTGATGGTAACCTTTGAAGGCTTTGTGAAAGCGCATTCATGCCATAAAAATGACATCTCAGCCACAAAGGCACCGAAAGCGAGAGACCAGGATTCTTTGCGCAGGTATGTTAAGGAAGCATATAAGTAATTTCTCGGGAAATTTAGACTTTTTGAAGAAAATTTAGTTTAATAAATTACCAAAACCACTGATAAAATTAAATTGGTATTTACTATTGCATACAGATAAAAGCGTGTCTAACGCAAACACGTGCATCACCGCCACGGCATCACGTGACTTCTATTAATAGCAAAATTTTCCTGAATAAAAAGTCTTACAGAACAACAATACCCCGCAGTTTGATAATTTCTTTGAGTATGTAATATAGCTGAAAAACATCCATTTTGTCTAAAAAGTGATGCTAGAATCCAACTATCTTGTCCGTAAAATATTTATTCCACACATTCGCACGAAACCTTACCCTTTGCTTTGAATTTTATACACATGAATGGAGATTTTTCGTACAACCATGCTTAACTCGGGATTCTAGCAGCACTTTCCAAGTTTGTCAAAACACAAACTTTCAATCTGTACAAATCGTATGTTTTCAAATATCCAGCTTATTGTTGTTCCGTTGCATTTTTTGGTCAAGAATGACGGTCGTAAGGCCAACCGGGATACGTGATATAGCTTACTGTCTTCGAAAGAGAATGTAATCGATGAAAATAAATTAGCATATCTGTTTAATTTATTGAACTCCAAATGAATTATACACAATATTTCCGATATTTCCTTTTAAACTCCATTTTACGTATCTTTGAACATGCCGTCTTAGCCAAATTCTCTTTACACGACATGATCAATTTCCAACTTACTTGATGTGCAAATATGACGTCATCGGTGGTAGATTTTAATCAAAATGACAGAATACATCAAAACGAAATAAGAAAATTTTATTTTTTTTAATGTTTACACGTTTCTTATCATTCTCTAGAGTGAAATTACATCGCTAAATACCAATATTATGAAAAACTGATTTCTTAAATTGACGTCATCTTGCCTACTATGACGTCATAATGCAGCACTGATTTAGCCAAGGTAGAGTATTTTGTATGCTTCCTTATTCCCCCTGCGTGAATTTGCTTATTTTACATTTATTTGCCCCCTTAAAGTACATTCATTAAGATTCTGAAATCTGTAATATTTTGAAACCTAATATGTTAAAGAATTGAAAAAAATATGTACATGTCTACAAAAACCGACCTTGTTTAATGTTTCCCTTTTTCCGTCTCGGTGTTTCTTTTAACTCGTTTCAACATGCTTTAATTCTTTATTTAAAATAAGTTTAATATTGGAAATTAATTATAAAATTTCAAGGCAGACAGGCAGGCTACAGCAGTTACGATGAGACTAGTCTTTTGGCCTTCTCCCCCACTGGTAATTTTGCTCCCTCTCCGAATTGTCTTTTCAGTTGTAGTGCTGTGGCCCCCTCCTCCATTGTTTGTGGCTGCAATAAAACATATTTTCTATTATATTCTATGGGGTGAAAGGGGGTGGGATGGGAAAAACAATCCTGTAATAGTTTTTGTATTTTTTTTTTTGAATATTATGTGCTTGTTTTTTTTCCTTACCACATCTGTATTTGATTCGTTGTTGTTCAAGCTTGTTTGTGGAATATAAACCAATGCTCATAACATCGAGTGGGAGTCGGGGCTTTGTTTTGCAATAATCAGTGACGCGGTTTATACACTCCATATGCTTTGCGGTTCCACTGTAATTACACATAATATTTTGTATTGATACAGAGATTATCCCCGTCTCATTTCTTTACTTTTGCAATAAGCATTGACTTCTACAGTTGACGGCTTACTGTTACCATAGAACAATGTACGGAAGCTCTTTTACAATATAAATGTGGACATTTTTTTAAACGATAATAATGGGTTGGTTCAATGCAAAAACAAGTTGCCGTAGAAGAGAGTGACAACCACCCTACCCTTAACTCCCGGCCTTCACATGTTAACGCCACTAACACTATACCTATGACAACTAGAAAGGTTTCCTTACCTATTATCAATTCTGAACCTCCGTACATGATACAGGTTTAAATGCCCAAGTACACTGTCACCTGTAAAAGTCTGTGCTTCACGCAAAAGTCAACTAGTACATGTATGTTTCAGCGTCATACCTGCGTGGCGCAGTAGTGCTAGTTTTACGTTTATGAGGCCAAAATAAAATTATAGTTTGTTTGGAATTGCCTCCCGCCTCATTGAAATGCCCCCTCCTGAAAAAATTTTATTGACCAAAAGTAGGAAGATTTTTTTTAATTTAATCAATTTTTTTGCTCATTACATGTATCACACGCACCATACAAAACACTGAAATGTAGTGTCAGATCTATGTAAAATTAGGTATTTTTGTTCTGAGATTTTTATCAAAAATTTATGATTTATCTTCAATTAAAAAAAAAAATAATTTCCCTCCCTCCCTCCTGTGTCTGAAACCCTCCAGGCGGCAATTCCAAACAAACAATTTTTAAGGATGGCCTGAGCCTATCCTTACCAGCAAAGAAACATTTATTATGCTCCAGTATTCGCAGATTCTTGAATATATAGTTTTTGCCATGTCCATCTGTCTGTCTGTTTGCCCTCAAACACTTGAACATTGTCCATAAGTTTTGAATGGGTGGGTTTATGTCTTCATATTTTACAGGTGTATTCCTTGTAAGAAGGCCTTTCCTTGGTTACCACCAAATTTGACCTCGTGATCTTGACCTTTCACCCACTTTTGCCCTCCCCAAATCCAAAACTTTAATCTTGGCCATAGGTTTTGAACTGTTGGTACTATGGCTTTTATATTTCTTAGGTGTATCGCCTGTGAAAAGACCTACCTCCTGGTACCAATAATTTTGAACTTTACCTTTGACTTGTATTTGAAAAACTTTAACCCCTTAAAATGTAAAGTTATTAATTACAGATAGATCACATTTTGGCAGTTATAAAAACAAATGGTTGCCAAGAAAACACAAAAATTAATAAAGTTACTTTAATTTTAGCATACATGTTCAAAATTCTTGATCATGGCAAATTCCCTTTATAAAATTATGGTATTCCCCATTTTCAAAAGTGAGTTATCTCCCCTCAAAATCGGAACTCTTCTACACTAGCCTAACTTCCGCGGACTACACATTACGATAATCCAACAAAATAGTGATCAACTTACACACTGTATTTAAAAATTTTAAAAGAAGGAAACGGTTTGCATTTTTTTAGATAATGAATTATTTTATAAAAGGTCTGTTAGCCCCCCCCCCCCCCTTTCTAGAAAGCTATACGAATTAGCCAGACACGAAGCATCATCTTTAAAAGTGGGGGGGGGGGTAGCCAAAGAAATATTTTTTTCTTACCTTGAAAAGTTGACAAGCAAAGAAAAACCTTGCCCAAAGTTGAAAAAGCTACTTATTTCAGTACCAGTTCCTTGGCATACAATACTACATTTCTCTTATATAACTTTACCGTAGTATTAACTGTGTGTGTGTGTGTGGGGGGGGGGGGTTGGCAACCTGTCTATCATTTAACATTTTCATTTGAAAAAGTCATATTGGGAAAATAGTGGGGGTGGGGCTAAGGTCCTTGACCCCCCCCCCCCCCCCCCGTGCGTACAGGTACATAGAACGAATATGTAAATAGGTTGAACAGTTGAATATGAACCATAGTTGTGAAAATTGAAAATTATTAGAATTACTATAATTGTGATTTCAATAAAATTACGGTACATATATTTTTTCACAGATGTACATGTATGTCAGTTACACGGGGCTACATGAGTCTCTCTCTCTCTCTCTCTCTCTCTCTCTCTCTCTCTCTCTCTCTCTCTCTCTCTCTCTCTCACATATTGTTTTTTACACACTTTGCAAAAAAGAATAACTTATAAAAATAAATACATGTACTTACACTGAAAGGATTTTTAACAAATAAATAACAGTTGAGAAAAGAATGTTTTCCGTTAATTAACGAGAAATACGCTAGGAAATTATTGTATCAATTTCGTAGTTCTGCTCTCAATTCTCTGATCTAAAACAAAATGTGTATTTTATTCGGGAATATACATGTACATATGCTTAGATCCTACACTAAAACTTTGATTAAATGCAGCTCAGACTTTATACGACATATGTAACACGAATTCAGGTCAATGCTATTTTAATTAGTCTTTCTTCGTTACATGAGGACATGAGATTAAATTATTCATTTAGAATTCTATTCAAAGTTTTAATACTACATATGGTGAATCAATTATTTTACAAATAAAAAATTCTAGAAACACTGTTAATTCAAATGAAATAGGCCTTTAATTGTCACCAAATGTGTTCTTGTAAAAGTAAAAGTTCTATGTTATGACATACAATCGAGCAAAAACGCAGTTTCTTGGTATCGGTCGCGGAAGACGAAGTACTGCTGTATATGCAGCAATTTCAGAGGTAATCATCAGTCTCCAAAAAATTCCTAGAGATACAAAGAAAATATGGCAGCAGCAGGCTAGATTAATTCTTAAAAACAGAGACGTATAATAGAAAAAAAAACTTTATAACTAAAAATTTGTTCCGCACATTTTGTAAATAATGATGAGCCGTCTGCAGAATATCCACTACCGAAAATTAGCTTATTAGCTTTTTTTTTTAATAGGCCTATTCGAATACGTATCAGCATTTTATCAGTAATTTGTTTCTTTCTTTTATTTTGTAAAGGGGGGGGGGGCACACAGCACCTTATTATAGTACTACACAGATTAATACAAATCCAGAAAGAGACTATGAGTGGGCAATTTAAAAAAAATACGAATCAGTTAAGATTTCTTTTTATTCACAAGCACAATAACATTTTTCCATATGACAGATGCATTACACCATAAACATGTTTACATCAAGAACGTCCGCGGAAGTGACTTTATTTATAGCGCATGCGTATTAAACACAGTAAAAGAGTTCCCTTCAGGGGAAAAAACTCACCTTTTGAAAATGGGGAATTAAAAAGATCCCGGGTGGCGAAAGTGTGTGTAAGGCACCTATTGAGCTAGATACTATAGAAGAGAAAGCAATACCTGCAAATATATGGTTTCAAACCAAGTTGAGGAAAATATTTCGGATAGCTTCCTTTTTCACAATTGCGTATTTCAGCGACAGAACAATCAAGTGCATCAGATCCTAAAATATGAAGAAAAATAATGAATTTCTTATAAATAATATAAGATATAAATGAACTACTACAAGAAAAAAACGTTTAACAAACAAATAAAAAAAAGGTAAAGAATAATTCAAATTTAGATTATACCTTTAGGAAGTATTAGGAAAGCAAAGCGTGACAAGGATATTGTGGTTAAAATCTTGATGAACATCTTTGTTTTCTTCCTGGAAATACATGCAATATCTTAAATTTTAATAGTAATCACAAATTAAGGATGTCTCCCTACGTGTGGCGATGTGGTTATATTTAAAAGTCTAAACTTAAGTAAAAGGTTAAGCCTTGTGATTGGGTTAGAACCTCATTGTGGGACAGGGAGACAATTTCTTCATGTGACACCGGATAAATCGAAGCTCGTATTGCAGTAGGTGCTGGCACAAAAAGTTCTCTCAATGCTCAGTGGCCCTAAGTGTCAAGTATTCATCTACAACCTTCCATTGGCAAGAACCGTTAACGTGAGATCAGAACGTAGAACACTCGTTCCGTGAGTTCCTTTCTCAACTGCCAATGATTTAAGTCGATAAGAAATGGATAGTAACTATTTCTTCTTCCGTCTTGCGCTGAGCACTTTGAAGTGAAAGTTCCGGATCCTTCTGATGAGACCTTGACGAACGAGGCCCCGTACGACAGAAGTTGACACGATAAAGATCCCCCACCGCTCTAACGCCCTGAGCACAGAATTAAGGTCAAAATTTGAAGCCCTTCACCGGTATATAGTGACGTCTCTAGATGAATGAAAAATCTTCGAAAGGGACGCGTAAAACACAACACAATTAATCAATCCATCGCTAAGTGGAAACGTCTCCATACGAGTGAAAATTCTCGAAAGGAACGAGCAATAAGCAAAATATAGACTACTTATTACATATGCTTGAAATTTTAGCATATTCTTCGTTGAGGCAGGCCATAAGGTGGAATTCATTTTTGTTCAAATCCGATTTCAATTTTCTTTTATCCTTGCGTCTAAAAGTTTTAACTAAAAATGCTCCGTATACTAGTACATGAGAAAAAATACACACCTCTTTAGGTTCTAAGGTACTTTAGATGATAATATGAAAATCCTCGACTTCTTTATATACTGTGCTATTGTTAGATGTTTTCTTGTTTTTTTAAAACTGATTTTAAAGTACAACATTTAAGAACTTAAATTATATCTTGTGCATTGACAAACACATCAAAATAAGTCGTTTAAATCGATATAAGCATTAAATTCAAATGCTTATCTTTGTATTTTCCCCCCATTTTTCTATACAATTCTTAATATTTTAAAGCATTTGTATTTAAATCGGCATAGACGAATATTTGCAGTAATGTTAAAATTCAATGTACATGTGTATAATTTGTTTATTGATAAAGGCCCCTATCCAGAATGTTTTACTCATCTCGGAAGTATGAAAATGACGATACTTTTTAAAATTTTCCGAAACGTGGGAATAATGGTTGAAATCGTGTTTTGAAACGGGATACTTGTATATAAGAATCATTTGGAAGATGTGGACGCAACCACTTGCCGATGGAGGGATGCAAATTCATACCTATATTCGGTACTCAGAGCAATTGAGCAGTGAGGGATGTTTTTCAGCTGTTTTTTTAATCTTTTTGAGCCAACACTTACTGCGACAAGAGAGATCACTCTTATCCGCAACAACTCTTATACCACGGAATGAAATTTGATGACACTTTCACAGAATCCTTATTAAATATTTTGGGTTTTCCACAACAAAACATTGACACTCCCATTATATTCATATGGGAGGCAGGGGTATCATTTAGTGAGCTCTTTGCTCACAGTACCTCTAGATTGATTTACCAGTTGTTGTTATTTCAAGTTAAACTATATGCATTATTTCAGAGATCCGTACGGTACAAACACTTATCTATTTTATAGCAAAATAAAACTTTCTAACAACTGCAGAAAATATCAAATATGCCTATTACAAATAATGCAAAAGATACCAGACTTAATTTCCCAGGAATTGAATTGTCAATCTGATGCCTCTGCCAACCCTGTCCACGTGTCAAGCAGTGGCGTTGTGTTGTTGTGCTTTGGTGGTGCATCAAGGGTGTAAATAAGACTTGAGTTGGCCTAAGAATCCCTTGTATATCTGCCCTTCACATGATCTCGGCTAGATGGCCCTCAATTGCGTGATCTTCGTTCCGGCCATCCGTCTGAAATGGTCTTTGGCATTTTCAATGCTCTTCATTTGTTTGTTTATGTTTGACTTTTTTGAAAGAATACTTGTGGTGAACTCTGAAGTGCATGTATCTGAGATTAAGAGGGCCGTATGCCGACCAACCCTCACTATAAATCGTTTCTCTATGTGTCTCTTGATAATTGGAAGCAGGGTCTCCTCACTTCTGTCTGACACAGGATCAAGACGATGCTGTTGGTATCTCGTTCGACCATATATTCATATCTAAAAATATAACAAAAATTCCTGCTGAAACAAAGTCTGGCTAAAAATGAAAATGCATACTTTACACGTGTAAGTTAAAAAAAAAAATACTGGAATTAAACAGTTGAAAAGGAGGTTACTCACCTTCAAACAAAGATTTGGGATGCCTTTGTGAAACTTAACGCGCCCTCCAAAAAGCGACTCGTCGGTTTCCCCTGTGCATTGAAATTTGCGATGGCGGAGGGTGTTGTGGAAATATTCTCGGATGAAAGACGCCCAATGTACAGCAGTAGCGGTATAGGACATTTGAGGAAAGCGGGAACACTGGGCCAGACTATTTTTCTCAAAGTAACATTTGATGAACCAGACGTCCTGTAATACCAGGTTGCTTCTATCAAAAGATGAAAAGGTTCTAGAAGATTTTGCGTGGAGTCTATTCAGAGGGCAACGAAAAATGACCCCACCTGCCTCAAATTCCCTAGCTGGGCATCCCAGCAAAATACCTTAGCACTTAATTTCTTCTATGGGCTGTCTCAGACTCTCCAGATCTTCAATTCTTGTCGATATATAGGAGATCTGATGTTTCTACTGGCCTAGGATGTAGAGGAATGGCTTCTCAAACATTGATTGCACATCTGTAAGTGGATGCTCTGGATGCTTTTTCTTGAATTCTTCGTTTGTTAGAAGTGCAGCTGTATCATATAACGTGCTGATCATGATGGTAATATAGCTTTGGTTTAGGATGTCTGAATGATCCTGCCAGATGTTGAGATGTCTTGCTCTCCCCATTTCTATTAACTTCTCATAAGCTTTGTTTTGTGGTACTGGTATTTCTTCGATAATCATCTCTGAAAATCTTTGTGCCTTTCAGTCATGCTATCCCTCGATCCCCTAATTCGAATCATGCAACCATAACTTCAACAGCGGAATCAACAAGAGCACCATAAGAATCGATTTTGTTCGTATGGTAGACATATTTAGGGCAATTTTCTCACCTATGTAGAGCACTTTGTTACCTAATTTATTCTAGATCTTCTCGAACCTAGATATTCTAGATATTCTAGAACCTTCTGTCGAATAGCTCTTGCTGTTCTTGGGGTTGGGATGGATACTTTTTAAAAAGTTTCTGTTTGGCTCTACGCACTCACTGCATGGAAGAAGTCTACTGACCCTTTGAACAGGATTAAATTTGTCAATGTTGACACCATTCATCCTTTCAAACATTTGGAGAACTTGGCCGGCATTCTTTAATGTTATACCTTTCTTGCTTTTTACATGATTGATTGATTGATTTGATATTGTTTAACGCCGAGTCGGCAATTTTTCAGCCATATTTCGGCGGACTATAAGGTTAATGGATAAGTAAAGTTTTTGGTTTCTCTGGCGGCCCCCAATGAGCCTACTCTTTTTCGAACTCCAGAGAAACGATCTTTTGCGTGCCAAGGGGGTTGTCATCCTTGACACGGGGCACCATTTAACGTCCCGTCCGACGGACTTAAATATTTTTAAAAATATATAAACTGTTAAAAATAGTGTATAAACTGTTGATAAAATAAATTCATATATGCTAATT